ATTACTTTATAAAATAGCTAAAATAATACAATTGGGGGTGGGGATAATGTTGGTCCCAGAAGTCATAGGGAAATTCCGATGTGAGGTATGTGACACTTTTCTATAGTCAGAGAGGTCTCAGGACCCCAGTACAATACAGGCTATTGCCATTGCTCTTGGATGCCCATGGGAACTAGATGGTAAGTCTCTATAGCTGAAAATAGCACATTTGGTTATAGGACGTAGGAAAACCAAACTGGAGTTGATTCGGAGATTATGGATGTGTACCACTGCAGGGCTTATGTTGTCTTTACTCAGAAATAACAGATGTTTCTTCATTAACAGAATATTTGGAATCTCCAAGGGATGCTTTTAGACAATTGAAGATGTCAAAATAATCATTTAATATCTTTCAATCATATATATATATATTTATATATATATATATACATATACATGTATATATGCTTACATATATGCACACATACTTAACAACTTCTTGTTCTTGCACCACTATTCTTTGAGTGGCTTATTTAGCATAAAAATTTATAAACACTTACAGAAAAATCAAAGTGATCTTCTAAAACTGACATATATTAAGTGATATAATCTGTTTGTGTGTAGTTTCTTAAAGCTTGTATTTAAATGAGCTTGTATTTAAAGATCACTGGGATCTTATGTTAATGCTCTCCTGTGCTGGAGTCTTTTAGAGGAAGTTAATATTGTATGCAATCATGAGGGCACATAACCTCATGATATCCTCAGTGGTGTCATTAGAGAAGGAAGAGAGAGCCCAATGAGTTCTGCCTCAACCTGTGTTGCTCTGGGCTACCTGGGCGCTCTGCAGGGTCCCAGACAGCTGGAAGATTCTCCCCATAAGGAATGCTTTTTTTTTTTTACATTATGAATTGCCTATTCTGTGGTCTTTAGTTATAGCAACAGAACATATGATAAAATAATATTAAATATAGTAAATAAATAAATAACTGGCTTTCCCAGGGGGATCAGTTAAACAGACCCATAATTTGCCTTGACCCTGTAGATTGTTTTTGGTAAGATGGCCATTTTTACTATGCTAACCCTACCAATCTATGAGAATGGGAGAGTTTTCCATCTTCTGAGATCTTCTTCAGTTTCTTTCTTCAGAGACTTGAAGTTCTTGTCAGACAGGTCTTTCACTTGTTTGGCTAGAATTACACCAAGATATTTTATATTACTTGTATCTATTGTGAAGGGCATTGTTTCCTTGATTTCTTTCTCAGCCCGTTTATCGTTTGTATAAAGGAGGGCTACTGATTTTATTATTTAGTAAATTTTGCATCCAGCCACTTTGCTGAAGGTGTTGATCGGCTGTAAGAGTTCTTTGGTAGAGATTTTAGGGTCACTTATGTATACTATCAAATCCTTTGCAAATATAGTGATACTGTAACTTCTTCCTTTCCAATTTGTATCTCCTTGATGTCTTTTAGCTCTCTTATTGCTCTACTTAGGACTTCCAGTACTATATTGAAGAGATAGCGAGAGAGAGAGCTGACGGCATTGTTTTGTCCCTGATTTTAGTTGAATTACTTTTAAGTTTCTCTCCATTCAATTTGATGTTGGCTATTGGCTTGCTGTATTTATTATATTTATTATATTATTATATTTATTATATTATTTATTATATTTATCCTTATATCCCTAATCTCTCCAAGACTTCTAACATGAAGGGGTGTTAGATTTTGTCAAAGCCTTTTTCAGTACAAGATATCCATGCTACACTCCAGAGACTCAAAGAAGCTAAACAAGGAAGGAAGAAGGACAACTCAAGGGTTACTTGTAGTTTTAAAACCACTACCACTTTTTCCTGAGAAGAGCCGAGCTACCAGCCTCTCCCCAATTCCCTTTCTACCCACCTTTAATTATAGAAGATGGTTGCACTACTAGCCCACTCCTGAGACCATCGAATCTGTGGATAAAACACATACACATAGCTTGTCACTTTAGAACTTTCCTTCTAAGCACAACTGCTGAGCGCAGATATCTTCTGCTGGAAAAGCATGCCCTTACTAATTTATTATCTCAGTCCCTCCACCTGCCCTAAACTCAGTGGGTAGTCCAACCTAGCCCCTGGCCAAACATCCTTGGCCACCCACCTGTAGCAGAGGCTGCAGGCCTTAGCTCCCTCTCACCCCAGGCCTTACAAGATTGCTTTGTTCTTCTACCTCCAAAGCATGGCAGAAAAGCCTCGGTCTCCTTCCCTGCATCTCCTTTTCCACCTGGGACCCAGGAAGTCTCATCTGTACCTTCTGCCCAGCAATTGGCTCCTGGCCTTCTTTATTGACAAATCCAGAACCAATTAGGGAATAGAGGTTTAACATCAGAACCTCCCCTTACATTCAGAGGAGGAGCTTGAGCCTCACTTAGAAGGAGGAATAAAATAGTGATAGGAGGCAGATTGAGGGAGGGAACTGGGTGGAAGACAGAAGGGGAGGGGAAAGGGTGCAGTTCAGGATCAGGTGTGAGGAGTGGCAGGAGAGTCGGCCCAAGGGACAGAATGAGTGGGAATCTGCAGTTGGGGAGGACTGGGACATGGGCACTTCTCTAGGATGGGGGAGACTCCCAGGAGTCTATGTGGGTGACTTTAGCTGAGACTCCTAGCAGGTTTCTGATATGGAATCTCTAGTGGCCACTTCCTGTAGCAAGGAAGGACTCCCAGTGGAGGGATAAGGACAGCAACCCACCCACAAAACTTTTGGCTCAAAATTTGTCCTGTCTATAAGAAATGCAGAGGAAAGATGGAGCAGAGACTAAGGGACCGGCCAGCCAATAACTGGCCCAACTTGAGACCCATCCCATGGGGGAGAACCAATCTCTGACACTATTAATGATACTCTGTTATGCTTGCCAACAGGAGCATAGCATAACTATCCTCTGAGAGAAGAGGCTCCACTCAGCAGCTGACAGAAACATGTACAGAGACCAACAGCCAAACACTAGATGGAACTTGGGAAGTCTTATGGAAGACTTGGGGGAAGGATTAGATTAAGGGACCTGGAGGGGATAGGAACTCTACAGGAAGACCAACAGAGTCAAATAACCAGGACCCCTGGGGTCTCAGAGACTGAACCACCAACCACAAAGCATTCATGGACTGGACCTAACCCCGGCCCCTTCCTATATATAGCAGATGTGCAGCTTGGTCTTCATATGGGTCCAGAACAACTGGTGAGGGTTTTGGGGGATGTCCCTAAATCTTGCTTGCCAGTGGATCCTGTTCTCCTAACTGGATTGCTTTGTCTGGCTTCAGTGGGAGATGATGCACCTTGCCCTGCAGAGGCTTGAAGTTCCGGTTGAGGGGGTGGGGGAGGTGGAGGAGAGACTCCATCCTCTCAGAGGAAAAGGGGAGGAGGAATGGGGGAGGGACTGTGTGTGTGGGGAGGACCAGGACGAGGGACTTGATTGATGAGGATGTAAAGTGAATAAATAAATTAATTAATTAATGGGGGAAAATCTCAGACTTTGTGCTTTACCCAAACAAACCAGAGGGTGGCATAGTTGGTACTAAAGAGCATCAAAAGAGAAAAAAAGCGTTTCAGGACTCCTCTTTCTGTATCAGAATCGAAACTGAAACAGAAGCGGTTTTTACTTCCTTTCACCCTGCCAGCATCAGACTCACCCTGGTGTTGCTCAGCCAGTTTGATCTGGTATCAAGGTAAACGGGCAGACTAGTTAAACTTACACGGAGACTAAATGAAGTTGTTTTTCTCTGACATCTCAGGAGGAAGAGAATACAGACACCAGACATTTTTTTCCCCATCAAAATGGACAGGGTTTTTTTTTTTTTCTTTTTTCCTTTTAAAAGTTTTTTTCCACATAGAAGAAATTTGAAAATTAGGGTAAGTACAAAATTTTTTCTTTCCTATTATTGTCGTTAGTATTGTCGCCTACAGCAACAGTTTATTGACCAGCAAAAATAAACTTTGAGGTTAGGAAGTTTAAGTATATTCTAAAAAAAAGCTGATAATTTTCTGAGCTTAGAATTTCTGGACTATGGGTTGTTGTAAATGGTATTGTGGTCATGACATTCCATTAAAGACGTTGTTGAAAATTAGACACTATTAATATCTCTCAAAGAAAAGCAGCATCTTCAGAAAGGAAAAAAAAACCACTTTAATGTTTACATTAGTGTAAAACATAGTCCTCCAATCACTAAGGAACAGGCAGTTTAGAAAATGAAGTCCTTGATAGTGTGTTGGATATTAGTGTCAAGTCCATGTGTGAGAGACAGACACAGAATGCTCATAGAATGTCTGCTAGGGAGTTCTGGAAGTTTCATGTGCTTGGTAAGAAAGAGGAGCTGGGTCTGATTTCCCCCCCCCCCCCCCGCAAATGTCATTCAAGGGCCTAGGAAAACAATGTTATTGAATAGGACCTTTTTTGAGAAAAACTGACAAACCTACAATCCAAGTGTGTGTGTGTGTGTGTGTGTGTGTGTGTGTGTGTGTATTTTACAAAGTATCCCCAGAATTGCTTATGAGCTTATACAATATAAAGAAGAAAAAGAATTTACATGCACACACACACATCACTTATTTTTAGTCCTAATTAGCCTTCCTCCTGTTTCCTTTCCTAGGGGTTTTTATATAAGTGTGATCCTGCAGGAACTTTTAGGGTTTGTGCAAACCTTTTAGAACACAGGAAAGTCTGAAAAATTAAAAACAGTAATACAGTGACATATAGGTTCTCCCCAAGTGGCCTCTTCTGTGGTTTTTAAATTATTGAATCAAGGAACGACTATCAAGACTCAAGAGAGGCTTTAGAGCAGAGGTTCTCAAACTGTGTGTCTTGACAGAGGCTGCCTAAGATCATCAGAAAATATAGATATTTACTTTATATTTTATAAGATCACAGAGTTACAGTTATGAAGTTTCAAGAAAATAATTTTATGGCTGGGGTGGGGGTCACCACACTCTGAGGAACTGTATTAAAGGGTTGCAGCATTGGGGAAGTTGAGAGCCACTGTTTTAGAGGAAGCACTGTGAAAAGTGAAATCTACTCGGTTTGGTAAGCTGGGAGTGAAAATAGTGAAAATTCATCCCTTTGATGTCATTTGCTTAATTTCTCAAGCAAATACTTCAGCCCAGATCTCTCTGCCTCCAACCCTCAACTTTATATCCTGATATTTTTGTGGCATGTAGCCCAGGTATGAATAATCCATCTGACTCATGACTCTATCTTACATTTTTATACTATTACACCAAGATGGGTGGGGACTGACATATGTATAATAACTATGAGTTAGGGAGACTCCTGGTGTCCTGATAAGATATTGCATAAGAGCCATGGGCTTGTAATCAGGAGCCTGGGGACACCAGGCAGCCAAATGGCCGTCATGTGTTGGGAGTGACTCTCACTGTGTTGGGAGTGACTGGGCAGCAGAGGTGGCTGGACAGCGTAGCAAAAAACAGGAGTGAGTAGCTGAGGGTCAGAACTGGACAGTTGCATGTGAACATATGAGGCAAGTGAATACATGTAAATATGAGGGTAACTAGTGGGCAGTGGGGTCGGGTGTTAGACAACTATAATATCAGTAAAGGCGGTCCTTTCCTGCCTCCTTCCCCTCACTCACGTGAGACTGCGTGTACAGGAGGAAATGGTGACAGACCAGAAGTGGCAGTACTCTGTCATTTACACATCTCTTTCATCATTCCTGAGTCATTTCTGTTAAGTCCATAACTTTCTTCCATGAAGATGCAGACAGAAGATGTGGAAATTGATGCTCTTGAGATGTTTTGCTTTTCAACTTGTTAATTGAGCAGAATTGGAAAACGGGGATGGTAAATATGCTGACAAGTTCACCACTGGCTTGGACCAGGCCAAGGTGGGCTGCTACACACAGAGAAGAGAGCACCTTCAGTGCCTGTGTCATTCAGAATCTTCCCTTTCCACTCTAAGCAATACTAAATAAACGGAAATGTTATGCAGTTATATGAAGTAGTGTGCTTACCTGGCCATTTATACATATGAAGTTTAGATTTGAAGAAACAGGATATATAATAAACTATGTACTTTTTCCAGGAAATAAAGGGTAGAATGTTGCTTTAAAACAAGGCCAATCAAGTGGTAAACATTGCTATAATGACCAGTAAAGTGGAAGGCGTTGGCATCGAGCAGGCTTCTTCCACAGGACATGTGGTCATTTGGAATAGATAACTTTAAGGATTGTGCTATTGTGCTGTTCTTGGTGGCTTATGTGCATTGATACTGAGAGGTTATTGGAGGTGTGTATGAAGTTTGCTATTGCAGTCCCTTGCATGGTAGAGGAGGATCCAATGTTTCAACATTATGACAGGTTGTCATCCACAAAGTTCATGTTTGAAAACCATGCCATTCACTTACAAAAGAAACCACACACACACACACACACACTCACATACACAGACTCACACACACATATACACACTCATGAAGTTTTAGATAAATTTATAACTTCAGGTTGGACTATTTTTATAATCGTCCTTGTCTGAGTGCAGCCAGGAAGCCGTGGGTTAGATAAGCCTGCAAGATATAAATAAAACATTTTTCTGTCTGCTTTCTTGAGATTTAAAGTGGAACAGAATACATGGAAATATCATACAGGCTGGAGTGATGGCTCAGTGAATAAGGAGAGCACTTGTGTGGGTATGTATGAGAACTTGAGTCAATCCTCAGTTCTCACTTCTGAAATGCAGAGGTAGTGACCTGCCTGAACCCAAGTACTGTGTGTGTTGAAGATTGAAAGATTGTTGGTTCTTGCTGGTTGCCAACTTAGCCACAGTTTGGGTAAGAAAACCTGCCTCAGAGTTAAAAAAAAAAAATGGGTAGTAAAAGCACAGACTCCCAGTGTCTTAAACCACACAAGGACTTCTACATGAATGCTCTTGTTCCCTCCTCCCTCTTCCTACCTCTCTCCTCCCTCCCACTCTCTCCTTCTCTGCTCGCCCCCACACAAGTACACACGCTTGCAAGCACACAAATTTAGTGCAAATAAATAAAAAATTTAAATACCATAGTAGTAAAACTCTTTATTTCGTATTCTGACTAAAAATGTTAGTGAAATAATGGGCAGAGAGAATGAATGGGGCATTATTCAAGGACTTTCTGATATGCTGGTATTGGAAATTCAGTTATAAACTGGCAACTTAAATTCATGGGATAAGAGTCCTCTTCATTGAAAGCCGTCTGATTATTCAGGAAGTTTATTCCACTTCAAAATCTGCAAGCAGGATTTTAATCTTTCTATTAGACTTTTGCCTCTCTCTCTCTGTCTCCCTCTGTCTCTGTCTCTGTCTCTCTCTCTCTCTCTCTCTCATACACACACACAGGAGGGAGGGAGTGCGCGGGGGGGAGGGGGGGAGGGTGGGAGGGAGAGAGAGAGAGAGAGAGAGAGAGAGAGAGAGAGAGAGAGAGAGAGACCGAGACCATATGAGATATAAGAAGATTGGTTAGGAACAAGATTGTCATCTAAAAAAAAAACCATCACACAAATATGTATAAAATGTAATGTTTCAGATTGCATGCTGAAACCTAGTGAGGTGTTTGTATGAATCTCTTGTCTATGGAGCCTTAGTAATGGTGAGGGTAGATTCGTTTCTTCAGTTGGTATTCTCGTGTGCTGGGGATCTAAGTTCAAGTCTGCCGCTGAGTTATATCCAGTAGGCAGTTAACTTTTGAGTAAAGTTTTGGAGAAATTAAAGCTAAGAATTAACTGTGAGTGGAACAGGGAAGTCAAAAGCTAGTCCTGAAATCTGCTGTAGATATTCAAAGTGGGAAAACAGTAAGATGTGAATACCTAGACTTGAACTAGTTCTTGCCCTTGATTCTAGACCACAGGGCAGTCTTGTTTCTACACAGCCTCTGTTCTATTTTAGTCATCTCTTTATTTCATCATGCATTTCAGAGTTATCACTGGCTTTTTAGTTGAAGAGTGATGTATATGAACTGAGCCTGCCTCTGTGATACAGCTCTGACATTTCTTCGTATGTTCATTTATGTAGCTTCCCATATTCAGTGTCCTTGTTCCCATTCTCAGAAAACATATCCCTAAGCAGAAATTACTGCAGTAAGAAGTTCAGCTCTGCCTGTCCTTGAATTTCATGGAGATACATTCACACAGTGCATTCTCTGTGCCAGTGGGGCTGTAGTTCCATCCTTCTTACATGACAGAAACTCAGCTCTGTTGTTGCTGAGCCAGCACTTCACTTTTTTTTCTCCTCCACCAAAATTATTGAGTTATAAGTTAGATATACTTTTAATTTGATAAAAGCAATCAAGTTCTTTTTTCTTCAAATAAGCTGAAACAAATTGCGTTCCCACCAGCACATTGCAAAAGCTCCATTCAGTTTAAGCTTACAGTAGCAATGTTTGGGGTTCTGGGGTTTTAACACCAGCTCTTCTGGTTGGCATGTGCTGGTGTTAATCCACGCAGTTTAATTTTGAATGTGTGCAGCTGGCTAAGATTTTGGAACTGCTGCAGATCCTGATCTATTGCATCCATCCATGTGACTTTCAAAAGCCCCACGGAGTTACCATCCTCCAACTAGTCCTAGCTTGTCCTCCTCATTGCTAAGCCAGAACCAGCAAATTGCCCAAAATGCCCATAAGGAGAGAGCTTTGCATCCCTGGAATTTTAACATGCAGCTCCTGTTGTGTCAGGTATCTTCAGATATAACTTTGAAGGTATACGTTTTTCAAACTCATTAACCTTGTTTCCTGCGGACCCAGTGAGAACATCAGAGACCTCGGTGACCTACAGCCTCACGTGGGCGGCGGGACGCCCTTCACTGTGTCTCCGGCAGTTTGGGTAAGTGAGTTATCTCACTTTTCAGATCTTATTCATGTAGAGTTGGTTGTAATAACCTGTGATTCACTTAGTTTTTGCAGCATCTGATATTGCTACAATCTTCTATCTCTCTTTTATTCTTCTACATGTGTGTCAATCGCCTTTTACTGAGTACCATTTTGGACTTTGTTGAGCATCTCTCTTGTGACTGTCTTTTCCTTTTTAAATTTCTTCTTTTAACTATTTTCCCTCTTTCTTCCCCATTTAAGTTTACTGTTGTGTTCTCTAAGCTCACTAAATCATTGTTCTATTTTTATAAAAGCATTTAAGGTTAGATGTTCTACAAATATTGTTGGTGTTCTTTCTGAAGTTTCGATACTCAACATTTTTCATTGCTGTTCAATTTTAAATGTTTTCTCATTGAAGCATGCCATTGTAATTTTGTGGGTTTGTTTTTATTTACGTTTCATTTGTGATTACCACCATCTGCATGCAGGTGTGAGAAGTGATCATATAGTCGATCTACCTTTTATTAAGGTTTCCTAATGGTATAATCTGCAATGTTACAATACATCACATCAACATTTGCTCATTCAAAACACAAAAACTACACACAAAGATCTCCCTTGTTGGTCATTACAGTTATGCTTACTTACTTTTTAAAAAAATCTTAATCAAAGGTTTTATAAGTTTGGTAATGCTCAATAACAAGATGCCCATACAATCAGAAGTGTAACTCAATACCCAACTAGATATAACAACTACCTTTGACACGTGGAGACACACTAACATATGCCTCCATGTTCTCCTCTCTCTCTCTCTCTCTCTCTCTCTCTCTCTCTCTCTCATCTCCTAGCTCCTCCTCTCCTCCTCCTCTTCTTAGTCCTCTTCCTCTCCTTACTCCTCCCAACTTGGCTCCTCCTACATATCACCCTTCCTGTTAAAATAAAAAAAAAACCCTTTTCTCTCAAAATGCAATTAGAGCATAACTATACCAATTTGTATCAGTAAGGTACAAGATAGACCTAATATCCAGTCCATCATTTTGTTGACTAAACAGAACTTCTATCATCTCTCCTAACTAAAAGACTTAGTTCTAAACCTGGCTTTTTTTTTCTTGGCTTTAGAATGAATGTCAGCTGAAAAATCATTCTCTCAAATCTTTTCTCTCAAAATAAATAGCTGGGATTGGCTATGAGACTATAAGTCTTCGACCCCGTCAGAAATCCAGAATGACTGAATAAACTGAAATTATATGGGAAGCACGACACATAGTTTCTAAAACTTAGCCAATTTATAGAGACCACTGAACACCTGGACAGTCCCTATACTACAAAACGTTGGAGCATCCAATCTTTGGCCTTCTGGCCCAGGATCATCTGACAGACCTAGTGATGCAGAATTATTAAGGGCTGATTACTCTGTCTTGGCAGATATAATCAGTCGACTATTCTGCAAGCGTGTCCTTTTCTGGACAGTAATTTGTCTGTAGATGGAAAGAGGTAATTCTCGCCTAGTGGCTGCCTCACCACAACTGGAGTAACTCCAAAGATGCTCAATTTCTTCTTAGAATCCGAGACAGGGAAGCTGTCAGGAGCAGACAGGTCTCTAATCAAAGTGAACATTAATACAGAAATGTTTGTAACGTCAATTCTGTGGACTTCTGACGTTTTGAAAACCAACTATCCATGTAAGGCAATCTGGACTGTTGTCTGTTAGCTCCTCTCAGCTATTTCTAAACAAGACATAGAAAACACCCTAACAATAAACTAAGAGACATGAATTTGCTATAGGCCCTTAACTCACAGGCTAACCATCTCAAATCAGTTAAAAATAAGTTATAGAAGGAATGTGTCTAAGCCTTGTATTCCTAAATGTGTTATATAGGCACAATGCCTATGAGAGTAACATTATTAATCTCACTTCTATATCAATAAGAAACTCGTACCAATGAAAACCTTAAATTTGAAATCAAAGTAAGTTTTATACCATTTAAGAACTTCAGCTTAATAATGATTATACAGATTTCTACCAATAGGTTATGGCTATGCAATAAATCCTAGCTATTCCTCCCTGTTCCAACAAAACCACTGCTTTTCCCTAGAAAGACAGCCTAATATTAACCACCTCAGTCCCCAAGCCCAGGAAATAGGGGCACCAACTCTTCATTAACTTCCTCAAGCTGATTACGGGCGTTGAGATATTAGAAGAGGGGCAGGGGGAAGAGTAAATTGATAAGCCTCTGACATCTGTGTCTTAACTGCATTCAGCTGAAATTCCAGGACATCAGAGGTTCGAGCAGGTCTGCTCAGTTTGCTTGAAAAGTAGATGCACCAATGCTGTGTATTCTGCAATATACGATTCTCAAAACAAATTTTAGTACCAAGATAATTTTTTGCTTGAATTCTGGAATCCAGTCTTCTGGCAGCCTGCCTCTGTCATGTCTAATCCATATAATTCTGGGAGTTTCTATGAGGGTGTGCTCCCACCATCCTCCCATTCCCGCCTCCATGCTCTCAAATTCGCCAACACTAGGGAATCCAAACTTACAGGTACCAAGGCTCTCCATTTCCAACTGATGCCTGACAAGGCCACCATCAGCTACCTATACAGGTGGAGCCATGAGTCCCTCCCTATGTGTTCTCAGGCTGGAGGTTTTAGAATGACTACTCCAGCTTATTTCTTAGAACCATTTGCTTGAAAAATTGTTTTCCAGCCTTTAACTCTAAGGTAGTGTCTGTCTTTGTCACTGAAGTGGGTTTTCCTGTATGCAGGAAAATGCTGGGTCCTGTTTACATATCCAGTCCATTAGCTTATATCTTTTTATTGGGGAATTGAGTTCATTGATGTTAAGAGGTATTAAGGAACAGTGATTGTTGCTTCCTGTTATTTTTGTTATTAGAGGTGAAATTATCTTTGTGTGGCTATCTTCTTTTGGATTTGTTGGAAGAGGATTACTTTCTTGCTCTTTCTAAGGTATAATTTCCCTCCTTGTGTTGGAGCTTACTTGCTCTTATCCTTTGTAATGCTGGGTTTGTGGAAAGATATTGTGTAAATTTGGTTTTGTCATGGAATATCTTGGTTTCTCCATCTATGGTAATTGAGAGTTTTTCTGGGTATAGTAGCCTGGGCTGGCATTTGTGTTCTCTTAGGGTCTGTATGATGTCAGTCCAGGATCTTCTGGCTTTTATAGTCTCTGGTGAGAAGTCTGGTGTAATTCTCATAGGTCTGCCTTTATATGTTACTTGGCCTTTTTCCCTTACTGCATTTAATATTCTTTCTTTACTTTGTGCATTTGGTGTTATGATTATTATATGATGGGAGGTATTTCTTTTCTGGTCTAGTCTATTTAGCGTTCTGTAGACTTCTTGTATGTTTATGGGCATCTTGTACTTTAGGTTAGGGAAGTTTTCTTCTATAATTTTGTTGAAGATATTTACTGGCCCTTTAATTTGGGAATCTTCACTCTCATCTATACCTATTATCCTTAAGTTTGGTCTTCTCATTGTGTCCTGGATTTCCTGGATGTTTTGTGTTAAGAACTTTTAGCATTTTGCATTTTCTTTGACAGTTGTGTCAATGTTCTCTATGGTATCTTCTGCACCTGAGATTCTCTCTTCTATCTCTTGTAGTCTGTTGGTGATTCTCCCATCTATGACTCCTGATTTCTTTCCTAGGTTTTCTATCTCCAGGGTAGTTTCCCTTTTTGATTTCTTTATTGTTTCTACTTACATTTTTTATGTCCTGGATGGATTTGTTCAATTCCTTCAGCTATTTGTTTGCATTCTCTTGTAATTCTTTAAGGGATTTTTGTGTTTCCTCTTTAAGGGCTTCTACCTGTTTACCTGTGTTCTCCTCAAATTCTTTGAGAGTGATGTTTATGTCCTTCTTAAAGTCCTCTATCATCATCATTAGAAGTGATTTTAAATGTGAATCTTGTTTTCCTGGTGATATGGGGAATTCAGGACTTTCTAATGTGGGAGAACTAGGTTCTAATGATGCCAACTATCCTAGGTTGCTGATGGTTATGTTCTTGCTCTTGCCTTTCGCCATCTGGGTCTCCTTAGTGCTACCTGCACTGTCTCTGACTGGAGCCTGTTTTACCTATTATCTTGGTTGTGTCAGAACTGTGTGGGGTCAATGTTACTACTAGGGTTAGAGCTGGGGTCCAAAATCTGCTCAATTCTCAGGTCCAGATGGGAAGGAACCAGTGCTCCTGGCCAAGAGTGAATTCCTGGGTCCCAGTGCGTCCCAGATACTCCCTGTTTGGGGCGGGTGTTGCTGTCTTCTTACCTAAGATGCTGCCCAGGTTAGAGCTCCTGGGAGGCTCGCTTCCTCTGGGCTTTGTGAGATTGGGTGCAGAGATGCCACCCGGGATCGGCTCAGTGTTGGGCCCAGACTGGAAGGCTGCTCACTTCCTCATAACCATTTCTCCTTAACTCTATAAACATGTTGTCCATTGTCATGGCTTCGCCATATATGTTCATGGAATTGTACAGACTGTGATGTTAGGGATTGTCTTTTTTTTTTTTCACTCAACAAAATTCTCCTCAGATTTACGAAAGTTGTTGTGTGTTGTGGTTTCAATATAAAATATCCCCTGAAGGCTCATGTGATGAAGGCTTGGTTCCCTGCAGTGTACAGAAATGCTGCATCTTGAAAAATGCATGGATCATGCAGACTCTGACCTAATAAATGGATTAATCCATTGATTGTTTTGTGGTTTAATGGCTTTGTTGGAAGATGGTGGAAACTAAAGGTAGTGATCCAGTTACTGGAATTATGTTAGTAGAGGCATACTTTGAAGAGTTTACTTCATCTACCAGAGTCTTCCCCTCTGGTTCCTTCCTGACTGACATGAGGTGGGTAACTTTCTTCCACTTTGCCTTTCCTTTATGACATTTCTGAGTTACTTTGCCTAGCTTGACCATCTCCAGTTCCACACATTTTTTCAAATGACATAATTTTTTTCATGGCCGAATATCGCAATATATATGTGTGTATATATATATATCTTTATC